CTGCCCTGCCCAGGGGCGTGTCCCCAGGGGATGGGATGGGATGGGATGGGATGGGATGGGATGGGATGGGATGGGATGGGATGGGATGGGATGGGTTGGGATGGGATGATACTTAAGGTCCCTTCCAACCCAAACCAGTCTGGATTCCTGGCAAGAGCATGAGGGAATGAGCACTGGGAAAGGGAATACAATGCATGTTAAAATTACTGTATGCTTGAGCTGTTTGTAAATGTTAATCCTTAACGTATTTAAATATATGAGGTATTTAACTGTAAATTAAATCCTTAATATATTTATAAATATTTATAAATTCCAGGTATTTATAGATGTTTCATCTGACTGTAAAACACTAATGCAAATGCTAATACTAATCCTTTGTTTTGTCAGCAATAGCTCCATTAAAGGGCTGAAATGTGACAAGTGCTGCACAGCCTCCTGAGACAGAAGGGAAGGTACAGAGCCACCTTGCAATGAGTTTCCCTAATTAAGGGAACCCAAGCAAGCAAACAAGCAAAGGAGAACAGCACCTTACCAGCCAGCTTTTCTGTCAGGTCCTGCTTTGCTTTTCCACTCAGGAACTGGGCTTTTGTGCAGAATGGCTGCAGCAGCAGGGAGGTGTCTAAAGGCAAAGAGCAAAACATGTTAAATTCTTAAATGGGAAATTAAAATATCTGGAAATAAACCCAATACGGGAAAAGGTAAATAAGAAAATACTATGGAAAAATAACCAAAGCACTACTGGGCAATACCAAGGTGATTTGTGTGGTGAGAATAAACCCATGATTTTTTACACAGTGTAGCAACTCTATGAAACTCTTGGAAAGAGTAACACTTTCAATTTACAACATAATCACAACAATTAAAACTGTTTCAAATTAAGAGAGTAAATTGCTTGCCTAAGTGTTGACATAGGGCCTGGACAACGTTTGTGGCAGCTGCATAAATCCCTGGATTTTTGGAGTTGAGGTTGTTGTCCACTATGGCAGGAATTAACATGTTGATCACAGGTGATAAATTGTCTTTGAGCAGTGGAATCATCTTGTGCATGGTCTCCAAAGCTGCCTGGTTCACTTTGCTGTTGGAGTCATGTAAGCGAGGCTTGAAAGCGTCAAAGATCTGGAAAAGCATCCAAAAGCACTCATGGAATTGGGAATCAATAGCTGAGGTGCAAAGCTCATCACCTGCTTTATTGTCACACTGTCATTGTCCACCTCTGCAAATGATGGCTCTGCTGTCTCCAGGGGTTGGGAACAGATGTTGTGTGAGGTCCCTTCCAAACCCAAACACTCTGGGATTCTGAGGTTCTGGGATGTGCAAATACCTGGGATCACGTTTAGAGCAAGCAACACTTGCTGTTTGAATCCTGTGCATTATTGTGACCTGAAGCCCTGCAGTGCGAGGGACTCCAGGCACAGGAACTCTCACTGGCACTCAGATTTCCTGCCAGCCAGTAATTTTAGGGAAACATGGCTCTGTTCACTACAGGGAATGTCAGAAAGGTTTCTCATATATATATATATTTAATTTACAGCTGCTGGACGTTTCTTTCTCCTACAGAAGCCCCTTTCCTATTGGACATTGAGCTTTAGCACAATAAATTTAACACAATACTTTCCTTACCTTCTCCCACACAAAAACTTGTAACTCTACTTCAGAGACAGTTTTACAGTTCTTCATTAATCCTTTCTGCTTTTTTCACAACTATTCCATATTTTGATATTTACCCAAGAATGGAATGAGTAACAGCACACAAGATTCCAGAAATCATGGAATCGCAGGCTGGTTTGGATGGGAAGGGATGTTAAAGCCCATCCCATTCCACCCCTGCCATGGCAGGGACACCTTCCACTATCCCAGGGTGCTCCAAGCCCTGTCCAACCTGGCCTTGGACACTTCCAGGGCTGGGACAGACACAGCTTCTCAGTAGTTCAAAAGCACCCTGAGTGAAAAATTCCACATTTTTCCTCCTGTTCCCTTTCTTTCCTCCCTTAGTGGCTGACACAGACCCCCCTGCTCCTCAGTGCTCTCTATCAAACATCCTTATTCCAAAAAGGACCCAAGACTTTTCTCAGAAAACTTCCTGTCAGGATCCAAAGCCCTTTGAATCGCAGCCTTCTCCCGGAGTTACCCTGACGACGTTGGCGAGCACCAGGGCTGGGCTGCTCTCCGTGTCCAGCAGCAGCCGCCGGACGCCGCTGATGCGCTCCCGGAAATCTTTGGCGTTCAGTAACCCCACAATGTCCCTGACATACTCCTCACTCTCCAGGGCACTGCGAGGAGCTGCTCTCCTTGGGGCTTCCTGGGCCTCCGTGCCGTCCCTGGGGGAAAGGGAAATGTTATTCCATCAGCTGGAACAGGAGGCTCATCCCACACATTCTCTTCCCATCTGAGTGCAACTATCAGAAGTAAACACAAGGTTTCACCTTAAATGTGGTGAATTAAAAATAAATCATCTAATAGTAACTGTTGTTCACAAAGTCTTGTGTCCACTCTGCTCCAAATGCAGCTGGTTTTGTGACCAGGAACAATTGGGGACTTCCCTTACATCAATGGGTCACAACCCCCCCAAAACTTACTTTAGGTTAATTCTTTATTCCCAGAGTACTCTAAAGACTGACCCCAGACCAGCTGTTACCTCAGCAACACTCCATGCTGAGGTGAAAACCCAGCAGCTCTTCCTAGAATATTTAGAAACAAATTTCCTGTGGCACCTGATCTCATTAGAGTCATGGAGAGAATTATAAAACCTGTGGAATCACCTCTCTGTCCAGGTAAGCATTTCCAGACCATCCAGGTAGTCATTACCTCACTCCTAATTCCTGAACACAAGGCTTGGATGGGGAATGGAATAAACAATCAAAATGTATCAGTAAATGTAGAATCAGTTATTATTTAGGACCGTGGAGGGTGTGTTAAAGAAACCTGGTCCTGAAGAGACACTGCAGTCACAGCCCTCTGAACTCTTGGATGCAGTTTTTGGCTTGCTTGAAATTTGGGGGTGCTTCTTTTTCAGTTCATTGAATCACAAACCATGGAATGGTTTGGGTTAAAGGGACCTCAAATCCCACCCAGTGCCACCCCTGCCATGGCAGGGACACCTCCCACTGCCCCAGGCTGCTCCAGCCCCAGGGTCCAGCCTGGCCTTGGGCACTGCCAGGGATCCAGGGACAGCCAGAGCCTGTGCCAGGGCCTGCCCCCTCCCAGAAAGGATACAGGGCAGTGTCCTGGGGTGATCCATAGTGCTCCTGTATCCCAGATCTATCTCAGCCAGGCACCCTGTGTGTGTGTGGGGGGTGTTTGTGAAATCCCCTCACCCGGGCTCTTTGAGGGATTTCTCTGTGTGGCGTTGGCTTTGTGGGCTGGTCTTTGTTCCACCAAAGATGCTTTTTCCCTTTCTGGGTTCTCTTTTCACTTTTGTTTTTCCCCTCACCTTGGAGGGACCGCAGTGAGAGGGTTTGAGCTGCCTTAAGGATGAACTCTGCTGTCTGCAGCTGAGGAATCCCAGCAGGAGCAGATCCCTGTGGGCAGCAGCAGCCAGGGAGGGACAGCCCCGCGTGGCCCCAGCGCTGGAGCTTGGCTGTGGGCAGGAGGCTGACCCTGGATGAGCTGTCAGGCCTTTGGCTGCTGCTGGAACTGCTCCACGAGGCTCCTGCCTTCCCAAGGAGGGTCTGACACCAGCTCATCCCTTTGTCCCAAAGCCTGAGGCCATCCCTGATAGCAATGGCTATTTCTCCAGCATTTTGGGTCTCTTCTTTTCCTGGTGAGTTCATTAAATTTAGCACTTTGCTATTTAGCAGTTATTTACATTTCCCCCCCTGCCTGTTGGCTGTTTGTTAATAAACTGTTATTTTTTCACTTACACCTACTCCTATCTCATTCCTTCTTGGCAGAAAGGGATTGATTGGAAAGAGGGGGAGTTCAGAGTGCCCACCTCCTTAACCAGTGACACTGCTGAGGAGGCCCCAGCACAGAACCAGCTAGCAGAGGGTGGGACGTGACACTCCTCACTGGTGGAACCAGCAGGAAATCCATGGGAAGCTGCTGAAGGACAAGGCTGGAAGCCTCCAGCTGGCTCTGGACATCCCTGAGAGAGGCAAGTGGCCAGCACACTCCCTCTGCACTGGGGGATGGTGACAAACGCTCCGTGGGAGTTGGTGGAAAGGTGGGAAAAGGGCAATTGGAAGCACAGAGGGAAACTGATCTTGCTGGAGAATGGGAAAACATCACTGGCCAGGTAGGGAGGCTGAGAGTGAGGTCCATCCTGTGCCTGAGTCTAGTCTAGGCTAGTGAGGAGCATCACAGCAAACAGCTGGAGCAGGCTGCAGGAGTGAAGTGTCCCGGGAAGATCTGGGCTGCAGACAAGGGAGTTATTTCCAGCTTGGTGGGCCCGTGGGGCCTCACGTCACTGGGGAAGAGACACCACCTCTAAGTGAGCATGAGCCCAAGGGGTGGCCTTAACCATGGACACTGTATCCCAGCTAATCCATGACTGGATCCATGAAATGTGAGCTGCTGTCGAGGCCAAATGCTGGTCTGGGGTCTCACAATAACCATGGGAAGCCCTGTGGTGCACACGAGGGCACGGCAGGAAAGGCTGGATGAATCCTGCCTCGAGCAAAGCCAGACCCATCCCTGGGGCTGTCTCTGCTCTGGGGCCTGCCTGCACCTGCTGGGTGATGCACAAATGTGTTGTGAACCTCAGGGGGATCGGAGCTGGGGTGAGAACAGCCTGTAATGTTGGAATGCCTGGGTACCCCTGGCTGCTGAATGTCACTGCCACTGCGTGATTTAACTACCATGGGCTGCTCCAGTCCTACCAGTCACACACCCAGTGAACTACTGGGATATCCTGGATGGGCAGTGACCACTGAAATAACTGTACTTGTATGTAGTTATACATAGAATGTATAGATATGTGTGTTTCAAGTGCAAATGTACTCATCTGGGCATCCATCAGATGATATGGAATAACAGCTGGAATGTCCTGGGGTAATCCATAAGGTCATTCTGTTCATATCTATCTGAGCCCAAAAATTGCTATTGTATCTTCAAGACCTAAAAAAGGTCAATATAAAACCTATAAGAAGATAAAACAAAACTAAAAGTGGTCAGAGTATGATCTGAACCCTTCAGCACCCCAGTCAGAGTCTTACTAAACCCTTGGTGTCCACAGTTGTGTACGAATGAGTGATTTGTGCTGTGTCTCCAGCCAGGAATGGTTTTCCCATGAGTCTGAACAGCAGCGTTTTGGATGATGCTGAGATGGATCCATTGGATCTACATTGCCCAGAGCAGCTGTGGCTGCCCCTGGATCCCTGGCAGTGCCCAAGGCCAGGCTGGACACTGGGGCTGGAGCAGCCTGGGACAGTGGGAGCTGTCCCTGCCATGGCAGGGGTGGCACTGGATGGGCTTTGAGGTCCTTCCAACCCAAACCATTCCATGGTTCTGTGATCCCAAACAGTGAATTCCAGGTGTTTTGTGTACTGTGTGTATTTCAGAGATGGTCAATAGACAAATTAACTTCAAAATGCACAAAGCCATTTTAATATAACCAGCCACTCTACTGAAAAGTTTCTCTGGAACAGGCCAAGTTGCCTTTTCCTTCAGGGCTGTTTAACTTTCCCAGCCCTGTGTGGCTGTTCCTGTGCTCCCTCCTTGGCCAGGTTCCTCACAGGATAAGCACTGGAGCTCATTACCTGTCTGGGATGATGGGAGCATCTCTGCAAGTAGAGGATGACCTCAAATGTCCAACATTTCCAGTCTGAGAACGCCTTCCTTTGGCTGAGGGTGTATCCAAGGGCATCTCCCCCAGGCCCTGCACAAAGGCACAGCACGAATTCATGGAATGAGGGAATCATAGGGAATTAATGTGGCTGCAGTACTGGAATTGTCTGCACCCAACAGCCCCCAGGACACCTCCATCTGCCCCAGGAGCTGCACAAGACCTTTCCCACACACCTTCTCTCGCAGAGTGCCAACAGTTTCCTTAATGTAAGGCAAATCCTTGGCTGGCACAAACTTCTCCAGGGTTTTATCCAAGTCAGGATGAGCCATCATGCTGAAGAGCATCCTCCGCCCGTAGTACCTGCAGGGAGAGCACCAGGACATCCAGGAACAGGGACTGCCTTTGTCACTGGCCATTACAGGTGTGGCACTCCAAAATGGAAAGGTGCAGGGAGATTGTGTCCAGGGAAAGGAAGGGAGCTGGGAAGGGGCTAGAGAATTGCTGAGGGAGCTGGGAAGGGGCTGGAGAATTGCTGAGGGAGCTGGGAAGGGGCTGGAGAATTGCTGAGGGAGCTGGGAAGGGGCTGGAGAATTGCTGAGGGAGCTGGGAAGGGGCTGGAGAATTGCTGAGGGAGCTGGGAAGGGGCTGGAGAATTGCTGAGGGAGCTGGGAAGGGGCTGAGCCTGGAGCAAAGGAGGCTCAGGGGGCCCTTGTGGCTCTGCACAAGTCCCTGGCAGGAGGGGACAGCCGGGGGGGTCGGGCTCTGCTGCCAGGGAACAGGGACAGGAGGAGAGGGAACGGCCTCAGGCTGGGCCAGGGGAGGCTCAGGGGGGACAGCAGCAGGAATTTCCCCATGGAAAGGGCGCTCAGGCCTTGGCAGGGGCTGCCCAGAGAGTTTTGCAGTGCCCAGTCACTGTTATTTGAGGTCTTTTCCAAGCTCAGTGGTTCCATAACTCTAAGATTGTTGTTGACATGAGTAACCAGACCCTTTCCCATCCTCCCTCAGAGGATGTGCTCAAGAGTCACTTTAATTAACTGATAAAATTAATGAGAACAGCCTTCACCTTCAGCTGGCTTTAACCAGGGCGGTCCAGCCTCCTCAGCCAGAGCCATGGATCAGATCCAAGTGTGGATCCCACAGCATTCCCTGTGTGGCTGCATCCTCTCCGTGCACAGCACGTCCTGTGAGCCCCTCTCCTCCTGCTCAGGCTGTGCCAGAGCTATCCAGGTGATTCCTGCCACAGGCACTATCCTAACAGTCCTGCCAGTGCTGGGATAACCACTGGACTCAAAGGTTTGTTGGAAGGGACCTGAAATCCCCTCCCCTCGCACCTCTGCCACGAGCAGGGACACCTTCCCCTGGCCCAGGGTGCTCCAGGCCTCATCCCACCCTTCCTGACAGCCAAGGTTTTTCCATCCTAAACGAGGCTGTGCGGCAGTGCAGAGCCCCAGGGGTGGCTCCTGCAGGAACACTCACCGTGTTTGCTGGGAGCTGTCCTGGGTGAACCTGGCGATGGCGGGGAGCAGCCGCTCGGCCGCGGGCCTGGCTCCCCCCAGGATGCGCTCGGGGCCCAGGCGCTGCACCGCGTCCCCCAGGTGCTGCGCCGTGCATCTCCTCACGGCTGAGTGCAGGTGGCTGGGGAGGGAAACGCACCTGAGGGCCAGCTCCTGCAGGGGCTGCTCCCAGCATTCCTCCCCCCTGCCAAACAAACCCTGGAACCACGGCATCCTGAGTGCTTGGGCTGGAAGGGACCTCCGAGCCCATCCCTGCCACACCTTCCACTACAATTATTCTTGTTGGATACAGGCAGGGAGGTTTCAGAATTTCAGTTCTAGTTTTCCTTCAAATAATTTTGTTTTACAAAGCATATGACTGTTCTTTCAAAGAGCTCTACAAAAAACCAATCCCTGTGCTCAGAGACACATCCTGGGCACTCGATATCACTGTAAAATTGACTAAAGCAGTGTTCAGTCGACTTCTAAAGATCCTGCAGGAGTCTCATGATCCCTGCTTTGTACAAAATAAACACCTGTGCTGATGCAAAGGAGAGAACAGCCAGAATCAGCTCTCAAACCCGTGCAGCAAATGATCCTTTTATCTAAATCCTGCTGCCTCTGCTGCTCCCACTTGTGTTCAACAACAAAATCCTGCAAACTCTAATGTCCCCAATTTTATATTTGGATGAAAAATGCTACTTTGAGGATAATTTGTAACTCCTGCTGCACTTTCAAGGGGAAAACAAGAATTGTGAGGCTGAGACCTCACTCCACGAAGCTGCTCATGGCAATGGCTGGAAAACATTTGTGTGCACACAACACCTTTGAGTTAAACACAGTGCATACAGGTAAGAAACAGGGTTTTACAATTCCTGAAGTAAAATCACTCTCAGCTCTACCCCTGGAATCATGCTCTTGGATCATGGATCTATTCATAGAATCCCAGACTGGTTTGGGCTGGGAAGGGACCCTAAAGCTGACTTTGCTCCAACCCCTGCCATGGGCAGGGCCACCTCCCACTGGAATTATTCTTGTTGGTGAAGGCAAACCCAACTTTGGAGCTGGTGAATAATCAGAATTTCTGTCTAGTCAGGGCTGCCAGCATTAAAGTCATGATCATGGCAGCCTTGAAAGGAGCTGAGCAGAAACCAGGGACATTTTAAGAGGTCTCATGAATTATAAGTGACCCCATAATTGAAGGATTATGTTGGGGTGAATTTAAGCAACTCAGCCCAATTTAGAGAGAACATCCCCTGTGGAATTGCAGTTGTGTCAAACAACCCTTTTCACCTGGTACTGAGACACAAATTTCCCCTTTGAAGGGTAATTCCACATTCCTGGTCACAGCCTCTGGAGCTGCCCTGTGCTCCAGGAGCTTTCCTGCTGACATGGCCAGAGCTTCCTAAAGCCAGGCCTAGAAAGGCTGCACCTTTAGGCCATGTCCTTATGTGTTATCCATTAAAAACATCCTGTACTCCATGAGTTAGGAAATCTGAGCTGTGAACAGATTCATCTGTGCCCAAATGCTGTATTCAGCCTCCCAGCTCAGTTCTGATGCCTTAGGAATCACAAAACCTTTACAAACTGACAAAGTGGAGGGGGCAAATCCCAAGAGAAAACCCCTCAGCTGGTGGGTTTGAATCTGCCAGGCAAGGTGGGGATGTCTGACAGAGACAGTTCTGACCAGGAGGGCCAAGAAGGGAGAGCCCAAACAGGGCACTTCCCTTGCTGCTGAATGAAAACCACAGGCAGTTACTGCCTGCTGCTCCTAAATCCACAAAATCATGGCATCAGCCTGGTTTGGGCTGGGAGGGACCATGAATCCATGGGCAGGGACATCTTCCACTATCCCAGGTTGCTCCAAGCCCCATCCAGCCTGGCCTTGGACACTCCCAGGGATGGAGCATCCATCCCAAGTCAGTTTGAATCCCAGAAATTCATAAAGAACAGAAATCCCAAGGCTGATTTTTGCCTTTCAGTTTAAAGAGCAGGAAACTGCAGCAGAGCTGTCAGGAATCCATGTATCCCACAACAACCAGCTTCCCAGGAAACAAAAGACAACATTTTGAATCAAGACTAACTCTGAGGACTGGAGCCATGCAGGAAATCTGTGGGGAGATTGAGAATGGAGCACCTGGAATGTGCCACGAAGGGAAATGGAGCCTGGGAAACGTCACCAAGGGCTGGCAGAGAGGAGAGGAAGCACCCAGCTCAGATGTGGTGAGCAGTGAATGAGGATGGAAAAGGAAAACAGACTGAACAGGGCCAGGGAAAGAAGGGAATTAACTCCAGAAAAGAATGGCCACCAGCACTGAGAAGGAAATTAAAGTGCAGACACAAAGGCTCAGCCTAGAGAAGAGGAATCAAGCAAGATAGATGCAGCTAGAGAACTCTAAGTTATACATCAATTTTTGACATAGAGAGGTGCTGAAAACTGGCCAGGGCAGGAACTGACTGCAGAGCAAAGGAGGAAAAGAAAGAACATTATGTCAGCTTTACCAGGCAAAGCAGAACAGCAGCTCCCCAAGAATATACAGTAACAGCAAAAAATAAAATCACTCAAGTGGTGCAGAACAGCCAGACAATACACCAAGCTTCAAAATCAACAGCCAACCTCTTCCATAATGCACAGAAAGGAACAGAGGGGCTTTAATTCAATTTATGCCAACAAACATTGCCCTGGGTAGAGGTTTAGGACAGCTGATTTCAAATTTCTGTCTACTGTACTCTGATGTTAAAAAGCCTACATTTGATAAATTTACTCTATTCACAGTATTCTTTATAAAGTCTTGACAGGAATTACCTTTGCCCTCCATTTATAAGAGAACAAAGTGCACGTGCTGGAGTCACATTATTAACCATGGCCTTCAGTGCCTTGTCTACCTCTTCCCTTATAAAAGTGTTGGATTCCCCAGCTTTGTGCAAAAGGACTTTTACTGCATTATCTAGTTCTTGATCCATGCTCTTTTTCAGGTGGGTGAACAAATCCCCTAAACAGACCACAGCAGCTCGAGAAACACCTGAGCGTAAATTCTTGACCTGCACACAGGAAAAACCCAAAAAACAATGAATAATGTTTATCAGAGAGACTTTAAAATAAATATTCATGTTTGCCCTTTGTCATTTTTAAGTAACATTACAAGCAACTGAGAAACACATTTCTAACTTGATTCACAATGGGTGAGAATTAAAATATACACTCATAAAAACCTTAGAAAGTTAAAATCTACATTTTTTTCAGCCTCTGAGTCTCAAATCATCCTTGAGACTGCCCAGTTGAGGAAAACTCACCAGAGGTGAGCATAAATCACTTCAGAGAGCTGTAAAATATATATATATACACACACAGAGAGCCAGTGGAATATTCTGATAGGAAAATTTAACCTCTTGAGCCACAGCCAGAGTTGTTTCATGGAGCTTTGCAGTCAGAATAGGGGCATGGTAGGCAGACAAGCACCTGACAAAGTTCAGACCTTCAATTTTCTTCTCCCTGTGTGAAAAAATAGTATTTAAATTCCACCCATTTGAAAAGTTTCATGAAAACATTCAGGTGTGGAATTCCAAGGAATCAAACAGCAAACAAATTAGATAGTAAAATAAAGATGAGAAATGAGATAAATAATAAAAATAAGAAATAATCCCAGATGGTTTTGGTTTAAAAGGACCTCAAATCCCACCCATCCCACCCCAGCCATGGCAGGGACAGCTCCCACTGTCCCAATGTCCAGCCTGGCCTTGGGCACTGCCAGGGATCCAGGGACAGCCACAGCTGCTCTGGGCACCTGTGCCAGGGCCTGCCCACCCTCACAGCCAAGAAATAATGCAAGAAATTTTTTCCAAGCAAATCTGTTTTTTCCTGTGGGACTGTTAGAGCACAGCAGCCTCTCAGCAGTGTCCCACAGTTCTGCTCCCAGCTGGCACCAGTGGCAATTCAAGGATCTGTTTCCTTCCCCAAACTGAAGGCAGCAGCTCTGTAAGCACATCCCAAGGCAGGAAGCACCAAAGAAATGCTTCAGTTCCACACAAAGCACCAAGGACAAGCTGCTAATTCCACACAAAGCACCAGAAAGGTGTTGGTGGGGCCTCTCCAGCCCTTAAACCCAGTTCCCAACCCTAATTTACAAAGCTCCTTTAATCTCAAATTTGACTTTATGTCGATGCCTGAGAGGCTCCTGGAGCAGGGGCTGGGCAGAGTTAAAGGAATAAAGCAGGGATTCATTAAAAGCCCTTCCAAGGATGCCCCTTGGTCAGTGCAAGAGCCCGGCCCTGGCTCCAGCCAGGATGGGTCAGGAGTTGGACACTGGGATCAGTTTTGCTCCATTTCCACCTTGGGTTCATTGTGCAATTCCAGCCTCAGGTGATGAAGGCCCATCCTCCCAGATTCTCTCCTCAATTCCCTGCTGGTTGCACTTGTTGGGGCTGAGGCTGCAGCGCTGCCCTTGCTGCTGGGGCTGGGAAAGAATTGTTGTGTGTGCTGAGCTGTGAGGAGACCCTGCTGACACTTTGTGTGCACTCCAGAGTTCTGCACAATTACACCCTCTGCAAAACAGCAAAGCTCAAACCGAGGGCATCGACGCCCGTTTTGCTGCGTTTTCCAGAGGATTCTCCCCGTGCCCACCCTGCCCAGGCCCCTGTGCACGCACCAGTCGTGGTCAGCCAGCAGTGCCAGTGCCTCTGCCAGCGCTGCCTCGGGCCTGGGGAAGGGCTGCAGCTCGGCGGGGTCCAGCACCTCGGGGCTCGGCGGCACCGGCGGCTCCCGGCAGCGGCCCCGCGGCGCCGGGCACGGCTCCTCTGTGACACGGGACAAAGAGTCAGCACCTCTGCCAGCTGCTCCCAGCCCGCCAGGGAAACGCAGCTCCGGCACTTAATGGTGCCACAGGAAATGGAGTTTGTAAAGGACACGGGATCCCAGGGGGGTTTGGGGTGGAAGGATCTTAAAGCCCAGCCACTGCCAGCCCCGCCTTGGCAGGGACAGCTCCCCCTGCCCCAGGCTGCTCCGGCCCTGGCCCTGGGCACTGCCAGGGATCCAGGGGCAGCCTCAATCAACCAACCAACCAATCAATCAGTCAATCCATCCATCCATCATCCATCA